AGTGGTGGGTGACTCTTTGTTGTGTACTGGGGTGGAGATTGCAAAAGGTAAAAAAAATGTTTTTGTTTTTAGTTGTGTGTGTGTGTGTGTGTGTGTGTGTTCGTTTGTTTGTTTGTTTGTTTGTTTCATCCTTGAAAAATTCATGCATTCTCCCCTAGTATGGTTTTTCGCACGAACTGATATTTTCTACTATCGATATGCAACACCTTGGTTCTCAGGCATTTTTCTGTCGCTCTTCTTCTTCTTCTTCTTCTTCTTCTTCTTCTTCTTCTTCTTCGGGACGTACATTGTCATGGCTCTCCACAATTTCCTGTTCTTTCTTGGTCTTAGCATATTTTGCCTTTTCATTATCTCTCCTAAACACTGTCTTGCCATCCATTTAGAAAAGCGCCTTCTTCTTTTCCTTTCCTCGCTCTTCTTTCTTCTTCTTCTTCTCTTTCTTCTTCTTCTTTCCTCATTCTTCTTCTTCTTCTTTTTTCCTCATTCTTCTTCTTCTTCTCCTTCTTCTTCTTCTTTCCTCATTCTTCTTCTTCTTCTTTTTCCTCATCCTTCTTCTTCTTCTTCTTCTCCTTCTTCTTTCCTCATTCTTCTTCTTCTTCTCTTTCTTCTTCTTCTTTCCTCATTTATCTTCTTCTTCTCTTTCTTCTTCTTCTTCTCCTTCTTCTTCTTCTTTCCTCATTCTTCTTCTTCTTCTTTTTTCCTCATCCTTCTCCTTCGTCTTCTTCTCCTTCTTCTTCTTCTTTCCTCATTCTTCTTCTTCTTCTCTTTCTTCTTCTTCTTTCCTCATTCTTCTTCTTTCCTCGTTCTTCTTCTTCTCCTTCTTCTTCTTCTTTCCTCATTCTTCTTCTTCTTCTCTTTCTTCTTCTTCTTTCCTCATTCTTCTTCTTTCCCCGTTCTTCTTCTTCTCCTTCTTCTTCTTCTTTCCTCATTCTTCTTCTTCTTCTCTTTCTTCTTCTTCTTTCCTCATTCTTCTTCTTTCCTCGTTCTTCTTCCTCTTCTTCTTCTTCTTTTTTTCCCTCATTCTTCTCCTTCTTCTTTCCTCATTCTTCTTCTTCTTCTTCTTTCCTCCTCGTTCTTCTTCTTCTTCTTCTTCTTCTTATTATTATTATTATTATTAACCCTTTGAGTCCTGACCTGACCTAAAAGAAATGTGTAAAAATAATGGAAGCATTTAACCCATTTGTTTCCTGACCACTGCTTTACCGTGTGTAGAGAAAAATGACGCAAGGCCTCACCACCGCTTGAACGGTGAGTAAACACTTGTAACTATTTTCATATCTACTGTGAAGCATTACATACCAATTACTTACCAATTAAGTTTGACTCAGGAGCTTAGGAAGAAGGGTTAAAATTCTTCAGAAAGGCAGAGCTCAAAGGGTTAACAATAATAATAATAATAATAATAATAATAATAAGCTAATACGCAATAACAACAACAATGAACACGTAAAAGAAAAGACAAAAAATAATGGAAGCATTAATCTTTTGACCCTGAAAACCGCTTTACCGGTGGTAGAGAAAAATGAAATAATGCCCAGTCACCGTTTGAACAGTGGTAGAGAAAAATGACGTAATGCCCAGTCACCGTTTGAACAGTGGTAGAGAAAAATGACGTAATACCCAGTCACCGGTTGAACGGTGGTAGAGAAAAATGACGTAATGCCCAGTCACCGGTTGAACAGTGGTAGAGAAAAATGACGTAATGCCCAGTCACCGGTTGAAGAGTGGTAGAGAAAAATGACGTACTGCCCAGTCACCGGTTGAAGAGTGGTAGAGAAAAATGACGTAATGCCCAGTCACCGGTTGAAGAGTGGTAGAGAAAAATGACGTAATGCCCAGTCACCGGTTGAACAGTGGTAGAAAAAAATGACGTAATGCCCAGTCACCGGTTGAACAGTGGTAGAGAAAAATGACGTAATACCCAGTCACCGGTTGAACGGTGGTAGAGAAAAATGACGTAATGCCCAGTCACCGGTTGAACAGTGGTAGAAAAAAATGACGTAATACCCAGTCACCGGTTGGACGGTGGTAGAGAAAAATGACGTAATGCCCAGTCACCGGTTGAACGGTGGCTAAACACTTGTAACTATTTTATATCTACCGTGAAATTTTACATATCGATTATTTGCGAATTTTAATTCAGGAGCTCAACCAAAAGGGCTAAAATTGTTCAGGAACGCTGCGCTCAAAGCTGAACCCCAAAAAGTGACATTGGGACATAAATATATGGAGCCCAATATACCTATCATGAAACTATATTTGATCAGCGTTGATCAGGTACACGCATTACAGACGGGATGATTTGACAGATTTCGACAAAGAAAAAAAAAAGACATTTATTCTGACAGGTGTGGCCCAGTTAGAAATACAACAAATTCGACTCGGTTACCTAGTTCACTCAGATAGTCTCCGTGGGTTTGGTTTGATTTGGTTTATTTTGTTTTACGGCATATCAGCTTCAATGTGTTATTTAATGCCGACAACATTTTTAGGATAGATT